TCCACTTCTTGCCAGATAAGGATACATTTGATGGGTAAATGGAAGATGAGTTGAATCAGGGGGTGAGAAGTAGTTAAAATAAAAAGCCCATTTTCATTGTTTGTGATCTTACGTTTATCCATCTTGAGTTAAATTTTGTATGTGGGCCACCATAAAAATATTGAGACAGACTGTCCAATATTACTGTCCATTATTTCACTTCCAAGAAACACAGTCAACAGTGTCCTTTCTGATTTACCCATGCAAGATTTTACATTTCTTAATTTCCTAATATCTCAAAACTTCTGTAATGACCTATATACCAATGTAATACTGGTATACGATGGGGACTGAGGACCCAGTTTCATTCTTCTGCATGTGTCTATTCAATTTTCCCTGCACCATTTATTGAATAGTGCATCCTTTACCCTCTGTAGGTCTTTGTGCGGTTTTTCAAGTTGGTTGTATGTATACAGTTTTGTTTTGGGGTTCTCCATCATGTTCTATTGATTGATGTGTCTACTTTTATACCAGTAAAACAGAGAACTCTGTTATCACCTGTACTTATTCAAAGAGTGCTTCGGGCTGCTGGCCTTGGTATAAGCAAAAGCTTGGAAAGGTCCACAATTTATTACAGACATTTATCCAAATATGGACAAAAAGCAAGAACAAAGATTCACCATTTTATTGAATAAGATGGCCATTCCTGCACATTGCAGCTGCCCAACCTGGAGACTCAGCTGTCTACTTCTGTGTAGAGAGTATAGATTACTGTACATTTGTAACCTAGGTGCAAACTTGAGACTGGGCGTGAAGCCACACTCTTCTTTCCTTAGGCATAGACCTTTAATTTACATAGTAAAAATGAACAGTCAGATGGAGATATGCATAGGGGAAGCTGTGGGGTAGTGTGGAACTTCCATTCCTTCGTTGGCCATGTTCAGCAATCAGGAAGCTTCACCTAATGGATTCTTAAAGGCAGTTAATGAAGTTTTATTTTGAAATTCAGGCTTTAAAGATGACTTCGCTATTTAGAGTCCTTTTGCATAAATAACTTACTAGTAACCATATCACAATCCCTCTTTGGCTGAACTTTTACCTTCATGTTTTAAAAATTGCTTTTGTTATTTTTTTCTGATTGTAAAACATTATATGCCAAATATGAGACAAAATTGATTACAAAGTTGATAATTCTGAGCCTAGATAATTTTTTGCTAAGGTTTGGTTAATTTCTTCCTAGATTCTTATTATAATTATAATCATGATTTTTCATTTATTTTATCTTGAATTGACCATTTCTCCTTTCATCAAATCTCCTGAAACACATGCATTTTAATAGCTCATGACAGATTTTCATAAGTCACAGTGATTTTCACTTTCTTCTTTATATCTGTTGTAAAATTTGACAGCTCTTCCTACTTGCTATTTCTTGTTGACAAAATGTGACTTAGGCTTTCCTTTAGAATCTAATTAGGATATATGCTGTTTATGTGTTTGAGGAAAATTAGAATAGAAAATAATTTGAGAAAGTGACCTTTAGATTAGACTTATCAATCTTTCCTTCTTTTTCAAAATACTTATTAACATCTGTTCATCTTTTTTATTTGCAGTTTTTGGCCGGGGTGGGTTTGAACCTGCCATCTCCAGAATATGGGGCTGGCGCCCTACTCTTTTGAGCCACGGGTGCCATCCTAACATCGGTTCATCTTATCTTGCCCAAGAATTAAGAAGAGAAAGCTGTCTGTTTTAATAGCAAGCTTTTTCACATAGTTAATAATCGGTAGATGTTTGCTAAAGAAAGAAGAAAGAAGTGAATTTTGGTATGATATGTTAAAATTTAATTTAGTGTTTGTGTTTCAATTAAATTCATAAGTTGATGTGTAAAGAATTAAACACTTTAAAAAGTATAGTTGATTACACGATTATTCTATAATGTACTATTTCTTACTGCTTATCTATGTCTTTCTTTCTGTATAAACTTTTGTTATTTTATAGTATTTATAGTATTTTTCTACAAAAAATAGAAAAATTAGTGGGGCTTGGTAACCCATGCCTGTAGTCCCAGCCATGTGGGAGGCTAACTCAGGAGGATCACTTGAGCTCAGAAGTTTGAGGTTGCTGTGAGCTATGATGACACCATTGCACTCTATTATACCTGGCAATAGGGTGTGACCTGTCTCAAAAAGAGAAAAAAAAGATTGATTAAATAATAGACCAGGAAAAGCAACCTGTACTGAGTATCATAAGTTTATTTATCTACTTATATTTGTAAAAGAATAGAGTATTAAGAAGTTCAGGGCATTCTGAATAATATGGACCTATTAGTGACCAGTTCACAGTGAGATAGCAAATGACTTTGTGAAGGGGAAGAATGTAGGACCATGAGAGCTAAGGGTAATTCATACATTAGGCTGAGGGAGTTCAAGGATGTCTGATACAGTAATTACTTTCAGTTTTAATATTCCATCTGTTTCCACATTTTCAGAGAATCAGGGTGATTTAAAAAAGTGAAATTCCTGAGTGAGGGCAAACCTTATATAACTGTCCCCAAAATATATGCTCCCATATGCATAGATAATTTAAAATATCACAGGTAGGGAACACAAACTCATATTGATGTTTAGTTATTGTCAGTGTTGTGTTTTGGTGGCAGGAGAATATTTCAATCCATGTAGAAAATAGAAAGACTGTTACCAATATCGACTCATAACACACACAGGGAATATAATTATGTAAAACCTTTTTGGAGATTCTCCAATGTTTCCTTAGGTTACTATTCTAGTTTATGTCACATTTTTACGGTTTTCATGGGTGTTCTTGGTTCCAAAAAAGTACATGAATTGGCAGTGTTTCTTGCTGTCCTAGCAAAGTTTCCCAACAAAGTTTTTTTTTCTTTTTTAAATATTGTGGCCATATGCCATTCCTGCAATGGGCTATTTCTGGATGGCTTTAGTAAGTTCTTTGGAGATCATTTGGTTTCACCAGGAAGTTTTTCTGGCTTTAATATATCTAATCCTCATTGATAAAACAAATTAATAATTCATCTAAGTTGGAGTTGACCTTTTCCATGGATTTGTCTTTCTATTCTATCAGAGGTACCTGCATAAGGACTTCAGTCAGAAAAGCATTTTAAGCCTCATGATAGGCTAAAGCATTTTTCTCTACCTCCATGTTGTCTTTCCTAGTGCAGATCTTTATCTTTATTACAAAAATTTCCTTGGGTAGCATCAAGACATCAAACAATTTATGTATTTGGTGTCCATTTTTAAAAAGATACATGAGAAAGTTAAGAAAAGGTGAAAAAGGTTAAGAAATCTCATTGTCTTCATAGTATTTGGAAGTCATGAACTACATTAAAATATCCCAACTATGGTTCTTTGCATGTTTTGTAACTTTACATGCTCAAGAGAAAGTTATAAATTTAACTACTTGAATTAATTTTGCTTCTTTAAGGGAATGGGTTTCATAACGGAGTCTGTGGTAGATATTGCATAACCAGTAGTGTATTATCTTATTTAAATTTGAAGATATTAAAAAATAAAATTAAGAAGTAGGTGTGAGATTGTGAAGACACCTCTTGAATGACAGTAGTATAATTATGAGGCTCTTTTTACTGATAAATGTAACAAAATTGAATACACTAAGAGGAAATTTGTGATATTTCACAAACTACTTATAAAAAATATTGGCGTAGGGTGGCACTTGTGGCTCAAAGGAGCAGGGCACTGGCCCCATATACTGGAGGTGGTGGGTTTGAATCTGGCCCTGGCCAAAAACTGCAAAAAAACTTTTTTCTATTTTTAGAGAGTAGAACCATTGTGTTGTATGTGATTTCATCATATTTAATGGTAGTTCCATGAAAGATCTGAAGATGCTTCAACCAACTGAGATAAGACCAAAGTTATTTTGAGACAAAGGAAATAAACATGGCTACTATATGCATTTAAGGAATAGACTATGATAGGCAGTGAGTTTTCATTATTTGCCATGTAGTTGAGTAATATCCCTAGGACATAGGGTTCACTCACATAGAAAGGTTTATCACAATCAGTGCTGCTATGATCAGCTCTCCTAGGCAGAAGTACAGGATAGTCTAGGATACATTCTATTCAGAGCTGGGCATACCCAATGTAGTGCCTGGTTCTGGCTCATTTAGGGTTCCAATTGAGATAACGGGAAAAACATAAATTCAAAGATTTGATAACTTAATGATCACACTTGGGTATCTAATGTGACTTTTATGAACAGAGCTGGATTATCAAGGTACATAGAAAAGTGAAGGAGATGTTTATAATAGTACCCAGTGTCTGAGGGCTTCCCTGATTACACTTCAGCAAAGAGAGATTTGTTCTTTATGCAGTTTTCCTCTAAGATAGGCAACTGGAAAGACACTGGAAGTGAGGTGGGAATTTGAAAGGCCTGCAGATATCAGTCCAAACAGCTTTACCTTTTTATTGTAACATGATTGTTTTCTATCTCAGGAGAAAGAGCAAGATGCATAGATATGAGGGTACATGATTATTACGTCTAACCTTGTCCCCGTAATCCATTCAATGTAGTGTTTGTGAATTTTATCTTGTATTCCTTAAAATTGATTTTTTAGTTGTTATGAGTACATAATACTATACAATATACATGTATTATTTTTACGTAAGTCCTTATCACCCACTTCTGTCAAAGATACAGTGACTGAAAAGAGTAGCTGGTCAAATTATCAGCTTTATTTTCAATATATTTAGTTTTTTTTTCATATTTAATTGTTACCACATTACTCATTGGTTAATCCAAAAGGAAGCTTGCTGTAGGTGCAATTCTTAGCCAGTACATGGAGCGGTTTGACATGACACGCCACACAAACTTGGTACTCCAGGAAACCTCTGTTTCCTGCTCTAGGGCAGCTGCGGCAGCAGCAGCAGCAGCACAGCCCAGTGACTCTTCTCTCTCTCTGTCGGGTTCACCTCACAGTTCAGAGCCCTGGAACCACTGAAGAAGGTATTTCCCCTGTAGAGGAAGAAACAGACATGTTGCTCTGCAGCCTGCTGAAGGTGGTCACAGCTTCAATGTGGCTAGGTAGGGATGGCCAGTGGGAATATGCTTCCTCTATTATGTAAGGACCGGGGGTACAGGATGGACTTATGGAGATGTTGGGAAGGAGGGATGACAGGGTATAAAAATAGAATTCTTGGTCCTACACCACTTAAAGCTAAACCTTCTAATTCTTTTTTCCTACAGGATCTGGTATTGCCCAGAAGGTAACTCAAGTCCCACCGGCAATGTTGGTGCAGGAGAGGGAGGCTGTGACTCTGGGATGCACGTATGACATCAGTGATTATAGTTATCATCTCTTCTGGTACAAGAAGTCCACCAACGGGGAGATGATTTTCATTATTCGCCAGGACTCCTTTAGTCAGAAAAATGAAACAGAAGGTCGCTACTCACTGAATTTCCAAAAGGCCAGCAAAGCCATCAACCTTATTATCTCAGCTTCAGAATTCAAGGACTCAGCGATATATTTCTGCGCACTGAGGAGCGCACAGTGAGAGGATTGTTGGAGGGAGCTGTACAAAAACTCCAGGTGTCTGCCTGTGACATCCACCTGCTGTCAGGACTGTAGCAGGGTATCACCATCACAGACAGGAAGTGGCTAGGCCTGTGGTAACACAGGTGTTGGGTTGGAGGGAAAATACTCACTTTAAGAAAATACTTCTTTAGGGTGGTGCCTGTGGCTCAAAAGGGTAGGGCACCGGTCTCATATGCTGGAGGTGGTAGGTTCAAACCCAGCCCTGGCCAAAAACAAAACAAAACAAAACTTCTTTAAATTCATAGATCATTTCCAGAGTTATCATTCAATAAAACATTTTATCACTGAATCTTTGGGTTGAGGTTAGACATACGGAATTTTTGACTGAATATTGAAGAGAAAGAACAACCACAAGAAGCAACTTGCCTTTGGCTATTGGGTTAGGCTAGAAGAATTGCCTAAGGAAATTCATAAACATGTGATTAAAAAAAATCATTAGAAGTTTCTTTGAATTTTGGGTTTTCAGATAAGTTGTTAAGTAAATATAAGGGGTCTTCAAAAAGTTAATGTAAGTGCACATTACAAAAATCTCTGCATGGATTTCAATTGTTTTTTCATCAAAACAAACTCCTACTAATCTGTTATAACATATCTGAATAGGATCTAGTTTGAAGCACTAAGAAGGATATGACATCAGTTTGAAAACAGCCCCTACTAGAGCAACATAAATTCTGTCAAATTTCAAGCAAGACCAAATATTGAATTTATGGCAAAACTTGGATGCAGGAATGGTGAAATCATTGATGTATTATGAAAAGTTTTAGAGAATAATTCCCCCAGAGAAATTATCAGTTTATAACTAGATAACTCATTTTAAGAAGAAGTGAGATAAAGCTGATGATGTAGCCTAAAGTGGGAGACCTTCCACATCAGTCTTCAAGGAAAACATTCATCTTGTTAATTGAAGAGAACCCTTGATTGACAGCAGAAACATAGCCAACACCACAGACATCTCAACTGGTTCAGCTTGCTCAATTCTCAGTGAAAAATTAAAGTTCAGCAAACTTTCTGCTGGATAGATGCAAAAACAGTTGCACCCAGATCAGCTTCAGGCAAGAGCAGAGCTTCAAAGAAAATTTTAAACAAGTAGAATCAGATCCTAAAGGATTTCTTTGAAGAGTTCCCATAGGAGATGAAGCATGGCTTTACCAGTGTGATTCTGAAGATTTTGCATGATCAAAGCAATGGCTACCAGGAGGTAGAAGTGGTCCAGTCAAAGCAAAAGCAATCAAGGGAAACATGATTACCAGTTTCTTGGGGTGCTTTACACATTTTGGTGTTGACTATTTGGAAAGTTATAAACAGATAACATCTGCTTATTATGAAAATGTTTTGAGAAAGTTAGTCAAAACCTAAGCAGAAAAATGCTAAAGGGAAATCTTTAACCCAAGAATTCTTCTCCACCACAACAATACTCCCGTTTATTCCTTTCATCAAACAAGGGCAATTTTGTGAGAGTTTTGATGGGAAATCATTAGACATCCATCTTATAGGCCAAATTTGACTCCTTCTGACATCTTTTGCTGTCTTAGTCTTATAAAATCTGTAAAGGATACCCATAGTTCTTTAGTTAGTAATGTAAAGATTGCATTGACATGATTAAAATCCATCCCACTTAATAGCCTTATTGCAATCTCTAGCATGGAAGAGCTCACATTCTATACTGTAGGCTTACCTGATCCCATCTAAGACTATAAAGAGATCAATAATTACTAGCATTTAGAGGGACTTTGTGAAGAAGCAGAGAATGGACCCTCCTCTTTTCTCTGCTCTTGTCTTTCACTCTGTTACTTCTTCAAGAGCATTTAATGTCATCACATTAATTTCATGCACCCCCAAGACCTGTTATGCTCAATCAATGTTCCACAATGTGAAATTGTCATTCTCTTCAATTTCCTCCTTCTACCTCTAACACCATTTTCATCTGCCTTAAAATATAAATGGTAATGGTAGGTTGATAAGGGATCTTTTATTTTAAGTTCCTCTTATGTCTGCATTTGGAAATTAGACTTGTAGAATAGAAACCTTAAAGGGAAGCATGTTTAAATTTTTTTTAAAATTTTAATTGTGGAAAAGTATACATGAGAGAATTTATCATTTTAACCACTTATAAGTGTATACAATTCAGTGGTATTAAACACATGTGCATAATGGGGTAGCCATCACTTACCATCTATCATGAGAACACTTTTCATTTTGCAAATTTGAAACTATGAATCCACTAAAGAATAACTCTAGATTTCCTACCACCCACAGCCCTTGGAAACCACCATTGTACTTTGTGTTTATGAATTTGACTACTCTAGGGATGTGAGTGGAAGTGATTGATGTTGCTGACACTTCTATTTTGGCAGAATTTGTTTCTGTCCTGGCTATATTCCCCTGTGGACCAGGTGCTGTTTGAGTTCACAGAAACTGTGACTCAGCCCTGGTCTGTGCTGCTGCCCAGAGCTGGCATGTCTGTTTCCATTGCAGTCTGTGTTGGTGTGGGCAAGGTTAGAACTCACACTGAGCTTTCAGTTTCAGCCTCTCCCTGCTTGCTTTTGTCTCAGCTATGATCCCCTGGGGGCCGGGTGCTTCTTAGGCTCACTAAAGCAGTCCTTCTGGCTCAGCCCCACAGAGGAAGTATGCTGTCTCTGGGCAAGTGTATTCTAGTCTCTGTTCCAGCCAAGTCCTGCCCAGGCTGGTACTGCCTCAGGCATACCCTTTACTCACAGGGCTTGTGTTTCTGTCCCAGATCTGTTCTGGCAGTGGCTGCCACTGGAGAAGAATCCTGGCTTCCTCTGGTTGCCCAGAGAGGCAGGGAGTGTCTCTCCAAAATATCCCCAGGGTTGTGAGCCCTATTGTTCCTGCCAGTGCCGCTGTGCTCTGTGCTGTGGGGTACCACCTTTCCCTCTTTCATATGGTTCCCTCAGCTCACCATCTTTTCCATACTCCTGTGCCATGCAACAGAATCAGCATGGACTAGCAACAGCCCATGCCTTGTCCACATCTCTTGAGAAAATGCCCCCAAATCTGGACTTCATTGGGGACAGGCTTCCAGACTTCAGGGTGAGAGTGGAGGGGAGTGCTGGGAGTTCAGAATTGCAGACAGAGAATATATACAGTTTTATACAGTTTCATGCCTGGCGGGAGAGTGCCATGGCACACTGGTAGGTCCTGTCTGGGGAAGGAGTTCTGGTTTTTAGAGGGTAAAATGGGATAAAATAGGAGGATATCAGAACTCTCCTCTGTTGTTTGTATAGAGTATACTGCCTGCTGTTCTCATGGGGCAGGGGACTCCTATCGGTTTCGGGATGGATTTTGTATCTATTGTTTGTTTCCTTGGGGTTGCAGCTCATCTCAGCAGGGTTTAAGTGCATTCTTCAACCTTCTCTCTTGGCTCAGCTTCAAACCATTGGCTTACTTGCTAAACTTCTGTCTTCTGGATGGGAGCCTCTGTGGAAAGCTGGCTCCAGTTGGTCATCTTGCCTCCCCAATGTCAGTTTTAGTTTTTATGTTTAGATTTTTAATTCTTTGTTTTGATAAGGGTCCAACTTCATTTTTTTCTATGTGGAATAGTTTTTTGCTGAAAAGACTTTCCTTTCACCCTTGAACAGTTTGTGATCATTTTAAAAAATCATTTGACCACATATGCAAAGGATTTATTTGGACTCTCCATTTTATTCCATTGTTCTACATGTCTGCTTTTGTGGAAATACCTTATTCTTTTCTTCCATTACTGAAGCTTTATTTTCAGTTTAGAAATCATAGAGTGTGAGAGCTTCTGAACTTGTTCTTTTTTTTCAAGATTATTTGGATTATTTGAGTGTCTTTAAGATGCCACATAAATTTTTGGGAGGATTTTTCTATTATAGGAAAAATACCATTTGAATTCTGTAAGGGCTTGCATTGAATCTGTAGATTCTTTTGGGTAGCATTGACATTTGAATAATATCCTTAAACATAGAATATATTTTCATTTATTTGTGTCTTCGAATGTTCGTTAGTTTCTTTTAATAACATTACCTCACTTTTATCGTATAAGTCTTTAGCATCCTTGTTTAAGTTTGTTGCTAAATATTTTCTTTTTGGTATTGTTGTGAATGCAATTATTTTCTTGATTTCCAGAATATTCATTGTTAGAATATAGAAGTGCAATTGATGTTTTTGTGCCATTTTTGTATCCTGCAAGTTTGTTGAAGTAGATTATTAGTGCTAAGAAGAAGCATATTTAATTGTGGAATTTCAAGTATTGTGACAATTGATTGAGGAACAGGATATTTGTCTCATGTTCCTCAAGTCAACTCATGTAAGCTCTAAAACTTTAACATAAAAGGAGGATGGACTTCATAGTGTAATCATTGTGTGTCTTTAGTCAATTTCTTTAAAATTTAATTTAAAGATTGAGAAATCAAAGAACTATGTTTTTGTAATAATAGATATTCTAACATATGATGGTGTGCTCAACAAGATACAGAATTTGTAGTTGGGTCCTAATTTTTAAAGCAGTGTTCAGCTAGTAATTGAAATACCATATCAGTAGAAAACAAAGTCCACTCCATTTTCCATACTATAAAGATACAGAAGGATTAAGTTTTACCCCAGGAAATCTAGTAACTGAAAGAGCCAACATCTCCACTAAGGTCATTTGACTTCAGCTGATGGACTTCCAACAAGATAAAAATAAAAATAAAAATACTCTCAAACTGGACTATATTAGTATTTTGTTGTTCTTATGAACATGTAATTATTTATATGTTAATTTCATATTATTATAGAGTACATTGGATATTTATTTTTCTCTTCTTGAGAATAGTAAGACACTATTATAGTCCAGTTCAGGGGTAGAGGGAAGTGGGAGAGAGAGGGGGTAGGTTGTATTATAGGGGAGGGCATGAGGCAGAATCTCACTTAATGTGCACTTGTAAGGGTGTATAACACCCTCCTGGGTGAGGGGCTTTTCTACAAATGGAAATT